GGGACCTCTCGGATCTCAAGGCCAGGGGGGAAGGCAAGGAGAAAAGGGATCTAAGGTAAGTCCTAGTCATTTGGATTTTATTTACTTTTTCTAGTGATTGAGGTTGTTGTTTTTTGTTTTTGTTTGGATATTTCACACTATTAAGATATTACTGAAAATGATCTCTTGGATCTTAAGCTCTTATGTTATCTGAGTTGTTTTAACCATATAACTCTCAACATATAATTTTTATGACAAATACTCCTTAGACTGCTACTTCTGCTGTAGGAGTAGCTTTACACTATTATTGTAAACCCACTACTACAGCCTACGTCATACAACTAAATATATTTTGTGCTCCATCATATATATCTGGTGCACATAATTGACACATGTATACATACACACATATGTGGGTGTCAATTATGATACAAAAAAAGGGAAAGCCAGTTTCAATTTTCATTTTGCTACAAGGTAAAGATTTCAAATGCTGAAATTTCTCACAATTGTTCTTTGTATCAAACTTTAAAAGGTTATGAGAAGTTTGGCTCTTTATATTGGTTCAAACACCAGCAGTGGTACTATGTAGGTTTGGAGACTTGCGTTTTGCTTTGAGTAATATGATATGATTTATTAATTTCGAAATCTCCCAAAAACTCTCTCTCTGTCTTACAAAACAGCAGAAAAGTTGCACATCTCCAACTCTTTCCACCCGATATCCTGCTGAGGAGTCCTATATATTCATAAAAACCTGCAAATTGGATACATAAGAAGCAGCTGCGTCTCTTGACGTTCCAACTGTTTCACCGTTGCATTCTTGTTTGCACCAGCATCAAGGCGAAAATGTCTGTTTAAGCCATAAAGACAATGTTTGACTTCTAAGTCAGACAACCTGACAAACCGCAGGCGTAGTTTCGCTCTTTGTTTCATTCCTCCTCTTATTTCGCTTCTTCACATACCCCCCTTCACAGACACCCGCTCCACGTTTCGGGTAAAGGATTAGAGACGATTTGACAGGAACAAGGCAAAGCCTGGGAGATGATTTGAGACTGTCAAATCTGGGCCTAATTGGTTGTGAGAGAAGCGTAATCTCCCCCCATTCAATCATCCAGGTCAATATTATGCACCTCTGGAGCTTCAATACATGAAAACCTGATGTTTCTCCTGAAAACATTTCATCTTTTAAGATCTTACAAATACTCCAGTCTTTGTTCTGTTCTCCTTTGGAGCAGGGAACGTTGCAGAGTACCATAGAATATGTTTTGTTAAAGTGATATTTAACCTTTTGTGAAGTTTGGGTAAAGGTGATGTAGTCACTGAATAGAATCCACATTTAATGGTTTTTTTTCTTTTATTATTTCTGATTTATATGCCTGAGATGGAAGCACATGATGGTTTTCCGTGTATTTCAGGGAGAAGCCGGAGCAGAGGGACCTGTTGGGAAAACAGGACCTGTGGGATCTCAGGGCCCCCCTGGAAAACCTGGTGCTGAGGGTCTGCGTGGAATCCCTGGCCCCGTTGTGAGTCTGGAAGACGCAAAATATTTGATTTTATCACCCAAAGGAACAACCGCGTAGTAGTGACATATTTTAGGTCGGAAGTTTTCTAGGTGAGGTCAAAGGGCTGCAAGCAAAAGAAATCACTGTTGATGTCTGTAATTATTTTTCTTACCCAAGTTCCTGAAGTATAAACCTTGGAGGGAATGGGTGTAAATTTATTTACAATTCATTCTGGATCTGGGTGGCATTCCAAACCTGACCCCAGCTGAAAACATTATGTCGTCTTCTTCTTCCAGGGTGAGCAAGGACTGCCTGGTGCATCTGGTCAAGATGGCCCTCCCGGTCCTATCGTAAGGCATTTCTTTCTATCACTAAGCTTTGGAAATGTTTTAAAATCCGATACACTGCTAATGCACACTGCACAAGCAGCTGTTAAATTTCTAATATTGTTACACCGGAGACCAATTCCTCTTTAAAATATGCTGTTTTAAAATGTATTTTTGATATTTACACAATTTATAACTTCAGTTGCTCTGTGCAACATGTAAAAAAAGGCACATTTAACATGATTTGTGTCATTTGCACTGGTTTCCTCTCCTCAGGGACCGCCTGGACTTCCTGGCATGAAAGGTGACTCTGGATCCAAAGGAGAAAAGGCAAGACAATATTATAATGCTAATCTCATATTGCTTTATAGTCAATGTCTCGTATCCGGTTTCGCACCTTATCTGAAGCTTCCAAAGCGTGCACACATCTAGGCCTGCGTGCACCTTGGCTGTGTTCCCCCTCCTCCCAGTGAGATGAAAAGCCGCTCTGCTCTGAGGAGGTTTCTCACTCGCTGATTTAATGCGCTGGATGAATATGTATAAGACCAAAAATATTGTCTTTGTAATACTCATTGGCTTAGCGCCCACATGCAGCATTCAAAAGCAGATGATCATAACTCATCCAAAGTGGCAGGTGGAAAGACACACCTCAATAAACATGCTAATTATTTATAGACAGAATCAAGACTCTGGCCAAAAGTTTGCCTGGCCAGACACTTCATATAAATTTCCCAGTCAATTTGCATATTTGTTTCTTTCTGCCCCCCAAAGCAATAAGTGCTTTAATAGTAAACTTTGTTCCTTTAATAATGTTATTTATTTCTGTCTTTTAATGAAATAATGCTTTTTTTTTTTTTTTGCTCCAGGGTCATCCTGGTCTGATTGGTCTGATTGGACCCCCGGGTGAACCGGGAGAGAAGGGAGACAGAGGTCTACCCGGACCCCAGGGTGCTGGAGGTGGCAAGGGAGAACCTGTACGTTTCCTGTCATTTTACAGAAATAGTTATTTATCTGAACATTTTGGTTTATTGGTAAAATTATGTTGCCAACTGATTTCATTCCATCCTGTGTGTCGCCAGGGTATCGGTGGAGCACACGGCCCACTCGGGCCTCCTGGTCCACCAGGACTTCCTGTAAGCTGCAGTTCTCGTTAAAAGTTTGTCTTGCCTCATTTCTGACCTTCGTTCTTACATTGCCATTGACTTGTTTGTCCCCAGGGTGCGCAAGGACAGAAAGGATCTAAGGGATCAGTCGTAAGTCACTTTCCCTTCACCAATGAATGTTTTGGATTTTTCAGATAAGGATAGAGGTTGGAATAAAGCATTTAAGCGTTTCTAACATCCCCATGATGTGTTTTTCTTTATCAGGGTACAACTGGTCAGAAGGGAGATCCTGGACTCATAGGGCCACCTGGACCACCTGTAAGTTATAGATTCAGCTTGTCCCTTGTAATCTAGACTGTTTTGAGTTTTAAAGAGTTGGTTAGACAAGAATTAATTTCTTTGATGAAGGAGGTAATTCTATATTTTTAGGTGGAATCGATGGAGCTTAATGCAGGGCACTCCTGCAGAAAAGCAGAGAAAATACAGGGAAAATTACTTTCAATATAGGACTTAAAAGAGTTTTTTACTGGCACGGTTTTATGTGGAATATACAAGACTGAATAACATCGAATGCAACCTGCAGACAGTCAAACTCCAGGTGAGCTGTGCTTTCATAACAATCAGCAATTTTAACATCACCGTAGTGAGATCAGGAACATCCTGACCTACTTTACTGATGTGAAGCGTAAACAGTGTTGGGACAAACACAGAGCCTTGAGGGGCACCTTGTTTGGCATTTATGCAACAGAAAATCAGTTTAGTTTCAGATGACTGGTGACAAGAAAGCCATATTTAAAATCACACAAGGACTTGGTCTTTAGCCTAACTGACAGAAAAGCTGAAAAGATTTGATCACTGGGAACAGGAATGGCTGTTGGGAACATGCAGGTTTACAATAAGAGACTTAATTATACGTGAAACTGAAATAAAATCTTTGTTAAAGCAGCAAAACAGTTCTGATTTGTCTGACGACATAGAAACGGCAAAAAAGATTTAATGGAGTCGTTTAGACTCAAGGTTTGAAAGTAGATTTAGTGATAATATTATTACTATGTTATCATTACAAGCTAATCTTTACCTCCTGTGCTGCAGGGTCCACCTGGTGACATGATCCAGCCGCTGCCCATTCAGCAGCCTGGCAAAAAGAGCAGGCGGCAGGCTGAAACGCAAGGAGATGAGGCTTTGACGGATTACGGCATGGAGGGAATGGACGACGTCTTCGGATCCCTCAACAACCTCAAACAGGACATCGAGCGCATGAAGTTCCCCATGGGCACCCAGGACAATCCCGCCAGGACCTGCAATGACCTGCACCTCAGCCAGCCCGATTTCCCCGACGGTACAATGAATACGATCCTTAATGTTGCTGTTTAGCACAACGTATCAATAGCAGCAATTAGTAAACTTTTAAATAGCTTAGTTCAGTTAAAAAAAAAAAGAAACATGAAGAGTGGAACAAGATGAGAAAAACATTAAAGAAGATAAAAGCTCGTGTAGACAGTTGGCTTATTTTATGGATCTGTTTCTCTCTCAGGTGAATACTGGATTGATCCGAACCAGGGCTGCATCGGAGACGCCATCAAAGTGTTCTGTAACTTCACAGCAGGTGGAGAAACATGCATTTACCCAGACAAGAAATCAACAGGAGTGAGTATACGGTGTTAGAACAGCAGCCGTTTAAGGCATGCATGCTCCAGGGTCGTTTAGTAACATTTGAAACTGTGTAAAAGCTGCTTTTAGAAATTGAAATATATATTGTGTTTATTAACTTGACTTTTTTTTGTGGGCATTTCTTATAGGTTAGAATATCCAACTGGCCTAAGGAATCACCAGGTTCATGGTTTAGTGAATTCAAGCGTGGCAAAATTGTGAGTCCAGAAGACACTGATATACGTCTGAATATGTTTTTTGATGTTTTCTTCATGAATTTCTTCATTTCCTTCATTCCTTCTGGTATTTCCCTAATTCTGTCCTCCTCCAACTATTCTCAGCTGAGCTACGTGGACGGTGGTGACAACAGCATCAACGCTGTTCAGATGACCTTCCTGAAGCTGCTGAGCTCCTCGGCGCGGCAGAACTTCACCTACATTTGCCATCAGTCGGTGGCCTGGTACGACTCCAAGGCCGACAACTACGACAGAGCGCTGCGCTTCCTGGGCTCCAACGACGAGGAAATGTCTTATGACAATAATCCCTTCATCAAGTCGCTGATGGATGGCTGCTCGGTAAACAGACGTTTTTGCTCGCTTTCAAAGTTTCACTTTGCAATTAAACTTTTTTTTCTTCTAAATTCCACAAAATCCCCCTAATCCTCACAAACGTGTAGAGAGTTGCGGGGAAAAAAAGTGTCAGGAAGTGTTCATATTTGATGTGGGAGAAACAGTCCCCCAATATGAGGGATATCCAAGCTTAGAAGGAATAATAAAAAGCCAAAATTGGCTTCTCACACCACTGCACTGCTCGCGTTATCCAATTGAAAAGGAAACAAATGAATAAAAATTCCAAAAAGTGCTGTTTTAGATTGTCAAAAATGCATACATGCTCATTACACTGCATGTTTTTTTGTGATTAAGAAACAGTATTCTATAGTGATTGACATCTGTCATCACTTTTAACAAGCTTTGAAAAGCACAAACTGAGGCTTTAGCAATAGTACCTGAGCTACATCATCTCTACATAAATAACATAACTCAAAAAGAAGAAACAAGAAGTTATAGTGGATTAATTCTTAAGAAGTTACCGCTTGTGTCAAAAACTCCAGCTGGAACTGAATGAATACTTTGAAAGATACTTGAAACTGCTCTGGATCATGTGACGAATCTCTTTCTTCTCACTCTGTGTGCAGATGAAGCAGGGTTATTCAAGGACAGTGCTGGAAATTAACACACCTCGCATCGACCAGTTACCCATCATTGATGTAATGCTGAATGACTTTGGGGAATCCAACCAGAGGTTCGGCTTCGAGGTCGGCTCCGTGTGTTTCCTCGGCTAGACACGCCCGTCTTCCCCCCCCCCGCCCCGCTGAAGGACAGGGTCAGAGAGTCAACAGTAACACCCACATGAAGAGAGCCTCCCTCTCAGCCACCACCTACCGTCTCCTACGAAGTAAAATCCCATTTTCCGTTATTGTAAAGAAGGTCCGACTAGCTGGGAGAAGAAGAAAAGCACGCTTTGACCCTGCCTTAAAAGCGCTGATCAGGGGAAACTCCTCCTTGCCCTCGTAGGGCCAGAATCACGTGACTTTAACTTGTAATGAGAGTGACATCAGGAAAAGGACTTTTGATGCCGTGGTGGACAGTGGCATACTTTCAGCATTAAAGAGAGGATCCACTCGCCCCAAACTTCGCCCTCCCATCCCCCGGTCCTCTCTGCATGCTCCAAGTGATGCTCTGAATTATACCACAGAGGTGCTTTTGTGCAGAATCGCAAAACACTAAAGGTGCTACAAACAGTGCATTTGATAAAACTGTAATTAATAATATTTGAATTTTGTACATTACTGTTCCTCTCTGAATCCACTCTTAACAACTTGCATGTGCTTCTTTGGTTTTAAAGAAATATTTGGTCAACTTTGTTAGAATAAATTTTGTTAGGATATTTAAAGTTTCTTAGAATCTGTCTGAAAACATCTACGACATACATTTGACTAAAGCTTCAATTTGTAAGTATGAATCAGTCCTCTTGTAAATAACATGATTCTTGTCCTCTTTCGTGAGCTTAGAAATTAACTGGAACATAACATCTAACCAAAAAATAAATAAATAAATTTCCCAGTAGGAAATTAAGCCATAATAAAATGAGGTTATAATATAAATATTCTAAAAAAGGGCTTATTCTTCCAGCTGTTATACCTCAGTTTCCTTAAAAAATCTGAACGTTAGACAGTCAAGTTTATATTTTCTGTGGTTTATAACTAATAAAACTATTTTTTTTTTTGTGTGTGTGTGTGTGGGAAAGGTATGTCTAGTTGTTTTCATTCAATCCCAAAGACGTCTTGTGGATATTTCCTTTGTAACAATGAACAAAATGTTTTCATGTGCCTTAAATTGTTCATTTAAGAAATACATTAAAATTGGGCTCTGAAAAACATTGGACTGAACATTTGTGTTGTTGGCTGTTTGACTACAGAAACAAGTAATGTTCGCTTTTTGTGATTCTGTGCCACAAGACTAATATCTCCATCCTTTGTCCCGATAGACAAAGAAAGATAAGTGATTCTTTGTGTTTGGGCTCATTTTACCCACTCTTTTTCTTTTTTTTTTCTTTACCTCTCTCTCTGACTCAGATTTGACCTCGATCAAGATCTGTTTGCATCGCCACTTTCTTGGCTTAAAAGCTCTGGCAACAAATACTTCAGAGCCACTTTCTAAAAACCTGTGTAATTACAGTATGTCTTCAACCTATGTACAACTGCAATAAATGTTTGGTGCTTTGTGCGCATTGCAATCTTTTTGCATTCACTTGCAATATAAAATGAGAGTAAACTGGAGCCACTTTCCCAGTTCAAACTGTGCTGAATGAAAACTCGTCTGCTGTGGTTTTGGTTTCCTAAAAGCACGGCGTGTCCTCAATTCGGCTCATTATGCTACACTTAGAACAACCTAAAGTGTTCATACCCTTTGAATTTTTTGACATCCTGTCACTTTACACCCACACAAATGTTGTGTTACTGGGTTATTTGTGATACACCAACAGAAACCTGATTGCTAAGTGGTAGAAAAACTACATATGGTTTTGTTTTGGGTTACTTTTCTCCATATATATACATTTGAATAAAAAGCATACAAAAACTTCAGGCAGTTTTTTTTTTTCCTCACTATCTGAAGTTAGTCAGAGCAAATGTCAAAAGTCATGTCTGTTTGCTAAGAGCCACAACAACAATGTGAGAATATGTCAGAGATTTAAGTAAAGAATGTCTTTAAAATTAGACGTAAACATATATTTCCTATTTTGCTATTTGATTGTGTTGCCTTTGAACTGTATGACTTGGGTAAAACATTATGGGTATACGTTCACAATCTTTTCACAATAGTTTGCTGGAATTGTGGCCAATTCTTCCCAACAGAACTGGTGTAACTGAGTCAGGCATGCAGGCCACCTCACTCTCTCACATGCCTTTTCAGATCTACCAACAAATTCTCTTCAAGACTAAAATAAGGGCTTTGTAATGGCCATGCTAAAACTTTAGGTTTGCAATGTCTTTTCAGTGTATGGACAGTTCAGGTTTCAACTGTCAGAACCATGCATTTGTGTTGTGTTTCACTCTGATGCAACGAGACGATGTCCCACCAAAACCCACAAAGATCCGAATATTTGTAAAGACACCCCAACCAGTTTGCAATATAATCTAAAGGATGCACACGGCCGCTCTGAGCAAATGAACAAACATCAATAAAACCAAGGAGTTGGACAGAGTGGAATAAATAAAATGTGTTCAACAATAGAAGACAAGTTATGGATAAAGCTCTGATAAAGTTTACAGCAGGTTTTTGGTTGTAAGACATTATCCCTGGCTTAGAAGGTGTAACAAAGTATTAATCAGTCTTTCATCCAGAAGCTGAAAAAGCAGGTTACAAGTGCAAGCCTACGAAGACATGAAATGCACACCTTAACTGACAGCTTAACCAAGACGCACGACTGGCGGGGCTACAAAGAGCCACATTACAGCCCTGTGTGGGATTTCTGACCATTACCGCCCTCACCCATCACTTTAATTGATGCACTGTGCTGTTCGATAAATGCATATTCACTGAATGTTTTATTGCAGTTGAACGAGAGCAGAATAAATAAAGTGCGTTCAACAAAAATCTCTCCACATTAAATCACAAATCCTGAGACTAAAATCAACATATCTGCTCAATGAAAAAAATAAAAAAAAAATATCTATGAGACAGTATTAGATATGAAACCCCTGAAAAACATTTGACAACAATTATGCTGAATTTGAAGTTATTTAACATTATTCAAACCAGTGGCTCAGAACATGCAAATGAATTAAAACATGACGTTTAACCGACACTGGGACATTTAGCCGACTTAAGATTTCTGTGCAGAAAGAGAATATCACTGTGAGACTCTGGTGTCAGGCTACTGAAAGGGTGTTTTTTTTTTTTTTTTCTGAAATGTGTGTACACATACTAAATGCTCTCTATGGTGGTTCACTGGACTTGCAGGAAAGTGTTTGTGTGAATTTTCCTCCCATGGGTTTGGAACTGGATTGTCCAGTGATTGAGTCCTGAGGTATCCTGTTATCTCCTCATCATCAGGTGTTGGCCCTGAATTAAAGTAGGAATTTTTCTACCTCTCTGCAAACCAGTTTGTTTTTTTTTTTTTTTGTTTTTTACCTGTGGTGATGTATCAACATCAAAGCACATGTTCTTTTTCTTTTTTTGGTGTCTTTGGATGAAGTTGGTCAAAACCTAACTTGCTACATTTTAGAGACCCACTCTGGGTTCAGTTTTTACTGAGGCCATTGTGCTCGGGCCACAACCCATTTACTTTTCTGCAGTCTCTCGGACTTGTACTGAGAACCACCATTTGCAGCAGCTTTTGAAAAACTGCAATGAAAAAAAAAAAATCCCATGCTAACTGTGAGTGCCAAAAGTCTGAATTTTCCACGGTAACTCAAACAGCATGATGGTGTCATACGCATCCACATCGACAGAGGCTGAAGAAACGGCTTTTGTGCTCAAATATCTTGATTTCCATTTTAATCTCCGTGTGATGTGCACACAAAGATCGCATGAAGCGTAATTAACAGCATAATCCGTATAATGTTGATGTGATAATAGCTCACAGCTTTTATCTGTGCCACTCAAGTGTCCACAAAAAAATGCAAATCTGCAGTAATTATCTTTTCTTCCCAGGGAGCCTGGGGGTTTCACTGGGGTATGAAAGTGTGTTGAAGTCAAGGATGTCACTTATCAGTAATGTTTTGCAAAATAAATGTAGCAGAGAACCAATTAGGAGTTCTGTCACAAGAAACACTCAAAGCAAGCATAAAATGCCAGAGTTTTACTGTTTTTTTAATTGTAAGTTTTCAGCTTTCCTAAGTTCAAGGCCTTGGTTCTCAACCTCTAAATGGTGGACTGCTTCCTTCTCCACAGTCTCCTCCACTTGTCTCATTCTTCTTCTGGAAAACATCTCAAGTGCCACCAGAATGGATGGAAGTTGTTCACAAAGTGTTGCCATAGACACTCTATTTAGGTGCAGGCTTTGACTGAGCCATTCCAGCATTTGGATATGATTTCTAAGCCACTCCATTGTAGTTCTGGTTGCATGTTTAGTCTCATCCTGCTGGAAGGTCAACCTCCAACTTCTAACACATCTTCTTACAGAATTACCAAATATTTAGCCCTGTTCATATTCCTGTCAACTCTGACCAGTTTTCATATCCCTCATCATGACAGAACACCCCAAAGCATGATGCTGCCACTGCCATTTTTCACTGGAGGACTGACTTTATGTTCCTGTGCAGTGTTAGCGCTTTAATTTTCAGCCTAGCCTGAACAAGGGCAAAAAGGGAAGCTTTGGTCACGTCTGTCCGAAGAACATTCTTCCAAATATTTTCTGTTTTTGTGGAAGGTTGTAGGTTCAATTCCAATTTCTTCCTGTCACGCAAGGCATTTAACTTCCTGTATCTGTGTATAAATGTGTGTGTATGTGAGTGTGAATGGGTGAATGTGTCCGTGGTGTAAAGTGCTTTGAATGTTCATTATGAAAGGAAAGGCACTTATTTAAATTAAGTTCATTTACAACTTTTTTTTGACGCCACACAGTCAATTTAACTTTGTTGTTACTTTAAATATGTTTTCCTTTGCCCCTCTTAAAACATTTCCGTGTTACAAAGAAGGTAATAACACATAAATGTGCATTCATTGCGCATGAATCCCGTGCATACAATCCAAGATCAGCTGTGTCTTTCTGTTTCACTGAGCAGTTTGTGTGTTGCATTCTGGAACGTTGCCCTGTTGTGGTTTGGCTGGTGTTGACATGCAGTCGTTCCAGAAGAACTGTTTGCAGAAGAAAACAATGGATGACTGGCATTTATTGGTCCTGCTGCCTTTTTTCTGCTCAAGCAAGCAGCAAGCCAAGAAATGGCGACCCTCCTCTAGAAAGAGAGGGAGGAAGAGGGAGAAAGAGCAGAAACCATCATGCCCATGGGTGACTGAGAATCTGAACCAGAGTTTAACAAACTTTATTTTAAAATATACAATGATGCAAAAATGTTTACACTAAAAGAATGTTTTTCTCTTATCTGGTGTCAGGGTCTAGAAAACCTGACATTAAACATAAGACAGTAACCTGACATGACTAACCTCGACACATGCATTCACATAATTGTACTTAATTTTTATTTTTCATTTATTTTAAAATAACTTTTGTGTTTTGAACATGCAGTAGTGACGCTCAAAATCTACTCATGTGAGAGTCCATTTAACTGTTGCAGGAATCAGAATAGACAAAACAAGCCATTTAAAAGAAATGATCGCTTTCCTTTGAGAGTTTAATAAAAAAAAAAGAAAATAAAAAGGTTTTTAGCTTCTATCAGACATAAAAATGGATATTGAAACGTAGCAAAAAAGTACAACTGGACAGTTTTTTTTTTTTTTCCAGGAAAAGAAATCTTGTGTGAATCAAAAAAATAATAATCCTAGACACATTTTGTTCCAGAACTTTATTTTTTACTCACAGATCACATTTAAGTTAATGTGTAATATCACATAAAGATTGTAAAGTTACCCAAGAAGTGTCATTTAATTTGGGACTGCACTTCTTTCTTGTAGCTAGACAAATCTGCCAATAGTCTGTTTTTTCCGTAAATGCATAAGGTATTATTCTTCTCATTTGGAAAAGCAGAAGTGAAGAAAATTAGAAACTGAAATTGTCAATTTCTTTGGTTAGGATTGTGCGTCTTACCGTGTCAGCTTTCAAACAGAGTGGAAACTTTCTTGTCTCCTGGCCTAATTCATTCTGTGATGGCGCCCGGCTGTTCATGACGCTGGAAAAGCTCAAGCAGAAAGAGAACGAGAAAGAATTGTGCAGAAGGAGTGTAACACTCCCTTTTTACTGAGGAGAAATCCGATTTAGCTGTCCCGGTGTTTCAGTGTGAACCATCAAACCTATCAGCTGTGAGCCAGAGGGGCCTTGCAGGGGTTTGAGGTGCATTCGTCGGACAAAATCAACTGTACTTTCCAGCAGCTGTAAAAAAACATTTTTCCTTTTATTGTTTCGAGTTCACAGGACATGTTCTTTCTTTTAAAAGCAGAGGACAAGTGATCCTGCAGTTACAAAAAATAAGTAAATGGTTACCATCCAACGGCTCTAGCAAATGTTTGTTTAAAGCAAACACGATTATTACTCAGCTCCATATGTGCTTTTGCTGACCGATACGAGGTGACATATTTCAGGGCTGAGAAGTACAGATCTTTGCTAACAGATG